CTTTTCTTTTTTCACTAGTGTCTACAATAGCATTCCAGTCACCTCTTATTAATCATTCTTGACCCCATTTAGCTCTGGCTTGAACAAGAAATCTCCATTGCTCCTCTCTAACTGCCTTGTCAGTACTAATGTAGACAAACACCAACCAAAAGGATCCAACACCATCTGGTTTTCTGACCTCCACTTCAAAACAAAAGGGGTGTTGAATTATCTGCACAATATTTTGATTATTATTCCTCATAAGTACAAGCCCCCCACTAATACCTATGGGATTAACAGCAGCCCATCTACCATTATACCCTAATTTATAACAAACAGTCTGAACAAACTCTTTTTGGTTTTTTGATTTAGAAAGAAAAATGAAGCTGGGGTGGTGGATTCTAATAGAATCCTTCAATTGGGAAACTGTGGAGGGTCCACCCAACCCTCTACAGTTCCACAATATCATCTTCATTGATCCACTTGGGGCCATTTGAGGCTGAGGCTGGCTTCCTCCACCTTAGCTATGGTTGTCTTGGACTTTTCTTACTTCTTGACAGCTGAGCTTCTACCTCTGGGGGCTCTGGTTGTGATTGGGTAAGTAGTCTGCCCCTTTTCAAAGAATCTTTATGGCTAAAAGTAAAAAAATAAAATCTCAAATCTTTGCACCACTTTTAGGCAAGATTCTCAACTACATAACAAGCTAAAAAATTTCTTCTTTCTGGGGCTGATATCTGGTAAGCCTACCTTCTTGCTCCTTGGCTCTCTTCCATCCTCTGGTTTTAGTTGAGATAGCTTTAGTAACCACAGGAAAGGATTCGGATACTTGAATGACTTGTTACCCCTCTGGAATAATTTCTGCCATGACTAGATCAAGTTTAGCATGATTCTAAAAACAAATGATCTGTTGGTTGTCACTTTCCTCAACTTGAGTCTCCTCCACTGATACTATTTGGTTAGGCTGGCCATGTTTAGCTTGGCTTGACGTACCCTTCACAAAGTTGTTCACAGGTTCTTGATCCCCCAGCTCTGATAAGGTGATTTTTGTATTCCCAATTATTGTTAACTACTTGCCAATCATACCGGTGAAGTTATCTTTACTTGAAGACCCCTGATTGCCATTAGTGTCCTGAGTATGATCATTGGTTTCAGGTCTGGGGGGAGTGCTATTAAAACTGGTTCGTTGGTTATTTCTAAGAGTAGTGCCACCACCGTCTAGAGCTCTGAGCCATTCACCATACTGCCCTTCTTTTAAGCATCCTTGCTCAATATCTGAGAGTCTCTTGGTACAAGATCGGTCTAGATACCCTAGTTTTCCACAGTAAAAACATAAATTGACTAACCTCTCATACTGAAATGCCACCATAACTTGTTGATCCATCAATTTCATGGAAGTACATTTGGGAATCAGTTTAGTGAGGTCCACCGTAACGAGGAGCCTGAGAAAACCCTCTTTACCCCCTCCCCCTGCTTTAACAACTGAGACATTTCTGACTTTTATGAAGATGTTGCCCAACTTTAACCCAACTTCTATACTGAGCCAATCTAAGGGGAAATTCTGAGCCTGAACCCAAATGTTGAGTTCATCAAAACCTGAATGTCTCACTCCCATCCCTTTCTCCCATTCACGCAGGATAAAGTACTGATTCTCGAATATCCAATGAAGTCCAGAAGCCACCTTCTCTTTATCCTTTGAATTTCCGAAGATGAACTGGAAAAAATTATGACTTAGTTCCTGGACTTCCACTGATTGTTGAATTTGCCATATAGCAGACATTTTTTTCTTGATGCCAAATAATGTGGCTTTCCTGTCCCCTATAACCTTTCCAAACAAGCTACGAGCACACTCTGCCGCACTGGACTTGATATCATTTACCTCCAGCTCAATGACACCACTTTCTTCGCCCTTTAAATTAATGTTCTTCAGCATATTCCCAATAGTCTCCATCGGTCCCGCAGTTGCGGTAGCCTTGGTCGAATTCGAATCCATACTGTCTTAATCACATAACCCAAAAAAAACCTAGGAATTGAAAAAAGGAACGAGAAAAAAAACGAAAAGAAAGAAAAAGCAAAAGCAATCGAGAAAAAAACTAAGAAACAGCTCTCAAAGAGAGAATGCAAGAGGAATCAATGGCCAAAGTAATGAGGAAACCCTACTACCAAGAGAATGGATCGCTCCCATTTGAGAGAATTCACGTCTTTTGGTTTTAATAAAAGTTTAGAAAGTTATGTTTGATGTTTCTCAATTTGTTTGATGAATAAATTTGAGTTTATTTATAAAGAAATGAAATTATTTTCAAATTATATATTCAATATGAATGATAGATAGATATATTTTACAAGCTTGATTAATTTTATATATTTTATATAAAACTAAAATATAAATAAAAAAACCTTTAAAAATAAGATTAGTACATATTTATATAACTAATATATATATATATATATATATATATATATTTTCCAAAACGATAGATGATATTATAAATCAAAATGCACAAATATGCGAATACACAGCAGCCAACGGCTGAATACACAACAACCAACAGCTGAAAAAGTGGGAGGACATGTCAGAAGACCGCCTAGAATCCCGGCTAGCAACGCTAAAATAAAAACTAATATATAAATTATTAAGAAAAAGAGAATGTATTATATAGTAATTTAAAGAAAAAAGGTAGTATATAGTAAATTAAGAAATATAAAGATAAAATAATTTTATTATAATTTCCAAGCATAGTTGTCAAACCAAAGTTGACATATATCAATACGAAACACATATTATGCCAAAAAAAACTTCTGAAGCGTTGTGACATTTTGACTAAAACATTGAAGAGTTAATGTATATAGGGGACATTTTGTCTATTTTCTTTAAAAATTACCTAATGTTAAACCCTTAAACTTTGGTAAATATATATAAGGTATTTGCTTTACTTATAACAGATCATTTGTTAGTTTTTTTATAATAGGTCCCCTACCCACAAATTAAGAGGTCCATATATATCAGTTTTGTCGTTGTCATAATATTTTAATTTGGATGTCTGTTGAAAAATTGATCCCTAACTTTGGATTAAGCAAACAATGACCGAAAAAAATAATTTATATTTCATAACAATGCTCGTAAACAGAAGGGTAGAAAATTGCAATTCATTGCTTTATTTATTTATTTTTTTTATATAAAAACTAAATCTCATTGGAACCTATTAAGTAATACTCCTATTTCTTGATAGGAAACCATTACCGTTTCAATTCAAGACTATTCATCAACAAATTTTATTACCACAATTAGTTGGGGATACAAACAACCTTATCTTGGCACTTTATTCATAAAAAAGTCATATTTATTCAAAAAATTTCCACTAATTAAGCATCTTCTGTTATTCAAAACCAGGTAATTTTGGCGTGAATGATTTCCACATAAAGAAAAATGAAGAATATCATTAGTATTCAAGTCCTAATTTATGATCAAGATTCTGATCACATAACATTGTTCTAATTAACTTGTAAAGTTAATCTTTTTGTGTCCATCCGGAAATGTCTAAACTACCCCCAAATAAATCACCATGGTAAAACAACTTGAAGCCATTTTAATGGCGCAGGGAAGGAATTTTATGAAAAATCATTTAAGAAGACAACCTTAACATTTCCAAAACAACAAGTCGTTTTTCACTGTATAATAAAACTTTATTAGATAAACGTGTGGAAAACAATTTATATAGAAAATCATTTATTCAGTATTTAAGTTCAAATAAAGGGTCAAGATTCAAAGCCAAAATTATGAGGTGTATAAAAAACTCTTGGTGAGCGCCACACTCAATCATTCCCAAAAGCCTACCATTTCCAGAAATGCATGCCTCTGCCGCCTCTCAGTGCTTTTGAGAGAGAGAGAGTAAACAAATCTCCATTATTTGACTCCAAAAAGCTCCATTATTTACATTCCCACTGGCCACATGCATATACATACATCGATGCATATGTATATCCATATTTTTATTATATACACCTTTTGTCACAGATCAATGTGTCTCAAAGACGGGAAGAGATAAAAGGAAAAAGAAAAAGCAAAAGACAAAACAAATCTACAGAGAGAGATACAGAGAGTGAAATTAA